GCATCCATTCTTTGTTCTTTGGGTTCTAGGTTTATTGCTATGCAGTTAGATTTTGTGACTAGTAGTGGAGCAAGGAGTCGCAAAATCAGGGTTATTTCAGTGGATGTCTATAGAATAGGAAGTGCATAAGCTACTCCCAGCCTCTGTAGCTGAGGACAAGCAGGTGATTCTTTTGGATTCTAGATATTCTGCATTTACGGCAGTGTGAGCAGGAGGGTGGCTTCCCGTTTCCTAAGGCAGCCCATCTTCCTGCTCTCTTTCTTCCTCTGTGTTCCCATTTGCATGGGATTCTATGCCAGGCGATGTGAGAGGCACTGTCGTTGGATAATAAATGATGTTCAATGTGACCTCTGCATTGAAGGAGCCTAACTCTGCAGTGGCTGCAGAGGACCAGAGCTTTAGGAAAGTTTCATCCTTTGAGAAACACCTGTCCCCCAGGGCATGGGGAATGGCCCAGCCATAGAGGGCTCTGTGAGGTCAGGTAGCCCAGACGGTCCCCGCAGGCAGGGTAAAGGGCACTGCTGATGGAGGTCTTCCTCCAGAGGACAGAGACAAAGGGGCCCCTGCTCCCCAGTCCTCTGCCTCAGTGTGGGCTCTTGAAGCTCCTTTTCTATGACCCTCCACCTGCTTGAGCAAATCCAACTGCACCTCAAAGCCCAGCACAGTGCTGCCTCCCCCAGGAAGCCTTCTCACTCTTCCCAGGTGAAAGCATTGCTGAGACCTCTGTTTTTAAGGTGCTTTATCTGCACTTCTCTTAGACACTAAACGGTTTCCACTTCCTGTAAACAGTTTGCCCTGGTCTTCTCCCGCTGTCAGGTAATCAGAGTCGGGTCCTTACCGCGTCTTACTCATTGCTGCATCACTGTTGCCTATCGGAATGCTGCCTGTTCCAGTGCAAGTAATCAACAAATAACTGTTGAATGCAGACATCACTGTGTGTCCACAAGAGGATCCCAAAGGCTCAGAAAAGGTAAGAAACACAAAACAACCCCACAACAAACCCAACTCAACATGTGCTTGGGGGCATATAATTTGGAGGCAGCAAAAATTCACTTTCCACCTTACCATCCTGAAGAAAAGTAAGTTTTCAGATGCCTAATAATAATAATAATAATAATAATAATAATAATAATAAGGTAAGTGAAATTTAAATACTGTGTATCCTGGTTGGGCATGGTGGTTCATACCTGTAATCCCATCACTTTGCGAGGCTGAGGTGGGCAGATCACTTGAGGCCAGGAGTTCAAGACCATCCTGGCCAACACGGTGAAACCTCATTTCTACTAAAAATACAAAATTAGCCAGGCGTGGTGGCACGTGCCTGTAATCCCAGCTACTTGGGATGCTGAGGCAAAAGAATAACTTGAACGAAGGAGGTGGAGGTTGCAGTGAGCTGAGATTGTGCCTCTGCTCTCCAGCCAGGGCAAAGAAAACAAAAAAAAAAAAACTACTCTATATTCTGAGATTTTGGAAACTTGCTGTTGATTTGGGTCCCTATATGTAATCAAATTCAATTTTGTATATAGTACTTTTAGGACATAACTTATAGAATGTTCTGGAATGCCTCCAGGGACAGAAAATCAGGACCTACTACCACAGGGCCGCAGCACTCATGCCCTTTAATTGTAAGGAGCTTCATTCTTGGTTTGAGAAAGCATTTGCCTCCCTATAGCTCCCGCCACCTATTTTCCAATGGCTAACCTGGGATAACCTTGGGCTCTGTCTGCTGCTGAGGGACTCCCTGTGGACCACACGTGGGTCACAGCTGTGGAGGATCAGAAAGAGATGAAGTGTCAGGGATGGGACACAAGCTGGTCTGAAACAGCAGGAGAAAGGAGGACTTGCGAATCCAGCGCAGAAGCAGGCAGTGGAGGGGAGGCTTCCCGTAAGGGAACATTTTGACCTGACACCTTCAGACCACGGGGTGGAAGGCCACAGCATTCAGCGCCAGATGGCTCTGACTCCCAGTCCTGAGCCATTGCTATTGTTCTGTGATTTGGGGAAAGATATTAATCTCTCATAGCCCCAGTTTGTCTTTAGAGTGCTTACAATACTGCCCACCTGGTCCACTGGGACGAGCATTAATGAGGACTGCCATGCATTTGGCATAGGACCTGACGTCTCATGTATGTTCAGTGAGAACTGCTCTAGATACTCTTTCTTTATTTTTTTGAGACAGGGTCTTGTTCTGGAGTGATGGCGTGATCTTGGCTCACCACAGCCTCGACCTCCAGGGCTCAGGTGATCCTCCCAACTTAGCCTCCTGAGTAGCTGAGACTACAGGCATGTGCCTACCACACCAGGATAATTTAAAATTTTACATTATTATTACTATTGTTTCGTAGAGACAAGTTGCATTGTATTGTCCAGGCTGGTGTAAAACTCCTGGGCTCAAGCAATCCTCCTGCCTCAGCCTCCCAAAGTGCTGAGATTATAGGTGTGAGCCACTGTGCCCAGCTGAGGATTCTGTTTTTTTTTTTTTTAAGATATCTTTTCAAAAATGATAATCCTTGAAAAAACTAAATTGAAAGTACACGCTTACCATGAAAAATGGTGACAGGGGAGGTAGTCTCTGTGTTATAAACACAGCGTTGGCTAATGTCTTGAAGTCCTACGCCTTCCAAAGAAGACCACAACTTTCTGAATGTGTCCTGAATGGGATAAACTCAAATGATAATACAATACAATTTTATAGGCATTTTATGGGCTAAGCCCTGACAAACATGACCTCTTTCTGAATTTTTTCCTCCCCTTCCTCCTCTTCAAAGGTGTTCTTTTGAGGAACCTCATGATGTAGAACAAACACATCTTGATTAAGCGATGCTCACTTCTCACCATCTGCTCTGATCCTGGAAGGAAGGACCCCCAGCCCTAGGCTGCCCTGTCAGCAGACAAAACCAGAGCTGGCAATTTAACTTGAGTTTGGCATCAACTCAGGCAATGTAGGTTTTCTGTTTTGGCTTTGTGCTAAAGATGATAAATCTCTTTTATAATGAAGACAGTTTTGCCAAGTTGAGGCATATACCAACAAGGGCAAGGGTGCTGCAGAAAATGAGTGATTTTTAAATGTCAATATTGTGAACACTCTGTTAAATGTAGCCTAACCATGAGAAATGAAAATGCTATGTGAATGATCGGAGCACGGCTATGCTGACGTGCGCCGCCCCATGGGGACTGCGGGCGCTGCGTGCCAGGCGGAAGGCTTTCCCATGGCAAGCTCTCCTCCCCAACACTCGGCATCCAGCGTCAACTCCTGTAAAGAATACATGCAGTTTGCTGATGAAGAGAGAAATGTGGAAGGACAGGGTTTGTCAATTAAAGGCAGTATCTTTCTTTCTTCCTAGATTCATACCTGAAGTTTCAACAACCGAAAACCAGCACACTAATCATTTTCTCAGACTGCTGAGGCTCCAAGGCCATTGTTCTCTGTAAGTCACAGCGCAGTTTCATCATTGCACTTCTGTTCCTGGGATTAGTGAGTACACTATTACGACAGTCATCTAGAGGTGGAGTGTCAGGGCCACATTCCCAGGGATCTCAGCTATCCTTTTGAAGTTCGGGATTTATAGTGATCTTGTAAATGTACAAATAAACTCATAGAAAAATACTTTAGAAAGAGCACAATTTGTCAAGACATTCAGAAATAGCTTTGTGAAACTGTACTGTCTTCAACATAAGCATTAGTTGTAGGTATTCTGCAATTATGTAATTGGTCTATAAACAGACAGGTGCTGTTAGCTTAGAAATCACATACAGCAATTTATTTTTTTATTTTTTTGAGACGGAGTTTCGCTTTTGTTACCCAGGATGGAGTGCAATGGCGCAATCTCGGCTCACCGCAACCTCCGCCTCCTGGGTTCAGGCAATTCTCCTGCCTCAGCCTCCTGAGTAGCTGGGATTACAGGCACGCACCACCATGCCCAGCTAATTTTTTGTATTTTTAGTAGAGACGGGGTTTCACCACGTTGACCAGGATGGTCTCGATCTCTTGACCTCGTGATCCACCCGCCTCGGCCTCCCAAAGTGCTGGGATTACAGGCTTGAGCCACTGCGCCCGGCCACATACAGCAATTTATAATGGACGTAGCTTCTGAACGGTCTTTTTGCTTTCGTTTGAGACAAAGTCTCACTCTGTTGCCCAGGCTGGAGTGCAGTGGCACGATCTTGGCTCACTGAAACCTCTGTCTCCAGGGTTCAAGTGATTCTCCTGCCTCAGCCTCCTAAGTAGCTGGGATTACAGACACGTACCACCATGCCCTGCTGGTCTCAAACTCCTGACCTCAGGTGATCTGCCAACCTCGGCCTCGGCCTCTCAAAGTGCTGGGATTACAGACAGGCATGAGCTACTGGGCCTGGCCTGAACGGTCTTGATGGTAGGTTTCTCTAGACAAATGGGAGAAAGAGAATAAGGGGCTGTCCTCATCCACACGGAGGGGCCGGGGCCCAGGTGAGCCCCAGAGGGGCTGGGACAGATCTGCCTGGTAGAGACAGACACTTGGTAGAGGAATGACCTTGCTTCCCATTCTGCTCAGGTGTGAGACTTTAGGCAAATCATCACATAGCTAACCAGTTTTATCTTTTACTGATCTTCAATTTTTCTCTTTGGCATAATGCCAAGGCATTTTCTTGTAAAACATGGGCTGATAATACTAGAAAATAATAAAAATTCTCTAAATTAAGCTTTTGCCAAAGTTCAAGGGAAATGGTAAGTGGAATATGGGATTGACTATGCTCCCAGGAAAAGTGTTAGCACAGTTGATCTCACATTCAACTTACCTGACAAAACAACACACACGCACTTTTCCTTCGATATCTTAGTGACTGCTTCTCTTTTCATGTAATTTATACCTTGGAATTGAGGGGATATACTAGACAGCACGTTAATTTTTCATTCACTCCAATATCGAAGGAAGGAACTTTTCTCCATGAATGCTGTGACGCGCTCATTTGCATTACTGAGAAACTATGTCGAAAGGCCCCGGGGAAGCCTGAGCTCTTACTTTCCTCCGAGAGGTCGTTCTCCTCGGCCTCTCTCTCCATCTCTTTGCACCAGCCTTCCATCCTCTTCGTCTCCGAGTGCAGGAGCTTCAAGAACCACGAGCCATCCCTGCGGCAGGGAGACATCCGCCCAGTCTCTACCGTGTCCAGGGCGGGCTCCAGCCAGGGATCCGGAGGGGGCAGGGTGGAGGTATCCACTTGGGTCCGATAGTCTTCTCGATAGCTGAAGAGCCCCTGCGTCCGTACAGTTCTCACCGCGCCATACTGGGTGGGGGTGCTGGGTTCAGAGTGCCGCTGGAAGGATGAGCCGAACTGGAGGCCTTTGTCCTCCATGGTGATATGGCCTGGGAACCCCTCCAGCTCCAGGTCTGCTTGGACGGCAGCCGTGACGCTGTTAGAACGTTTAAAACGTCCGTGTCTGCAAAAGGAGGGAAGGAAGACAGATGGTAGCCTTTCTGAGAGAACTTCCTGCAACAGAATCCCACATGTGGCTTATCGAGAACACTCCTGAAGGCAGCAGCCTAGCAGCTCAAGGACAGGTGAGTGCTTTGTCCATGAAATATGCTGGTGTTTCATCTAGGGAAGAACATTTGTTTTTGCAAATAATTACACTTTAACGTCTACCTAAGTCTTAAGGCCTAAATAATGCCCCCTTGGGATTTAAGTTTATTGAGTGACACAATGAGAGTTAGTGTGTTTCATGAAACCACTATGAGTAAATGGCTACCTCCCTTTCAGAAAGCAATATGCCACAAGCTTATGCAGCTGAGGTTGTGGGTTGCTGCTTTTGTGTGAACAACATCCACATCATACTGTGTTTTAGTGGCTTCCAAATTGTGTTTCAGGGCCCAAGCCACTTCTCTCCGGAAAAATTAATAGGTCCCCATTCACCCCTGTATGCAAAATAATGACTCCAAATTCTGACTTTGGTGGGTGTTGATACACAGTGAACATGTTTTTCAGTGTCATCTATTTCCACATAGCTGATCACTGAAATAATTGGTAGGAAGGAGCTTATAATTGGAGACCAGTATGCTGAGTGGGAATGCTGTGTGCATGTGTGTGGGGGTGTGTATATATGTGTATCTTTGTAGTGCCTGTGTCTTGTCGTGTGGTCTGTGGGTCTGTGCAGTGTGTAATGTGTATATGTGTGTGTGCGTGTGTCTGTGTCTATGTGTTTATGTGGGTGTCTCTCTGTGTGTGTCTGTACATCTCCAGATACTGCAGCGATCCCTGTGGCTCTGCAGGCTAAACCCCCGGGAGCACACAGCTGTGCGTGCAGCTGGTTAGTGACGTTGCCACGTGCTCCCTTTGCTACGGGGAGGGACACTGAGCCACAGATCAGGAGGAAGGTGGCTTGCCCGGCCCCCAGGTGCAGAGGGTGGCCACGGTGTAGGAGGTCTACCTGGAAACTGGGGAAGCCGTTAGCCGGGGTTGGAATTTCTTTGCAATCAAAATCTCAATAGGGTAGGTGCTAAAATGCTCCCTGATGAGGGAGGTCACCCAGCACTGTCCCTACCAGATGCTAGCTGGGCCCTCACTATGTAATGTTCTCATCAAAATTTGTTTTTATGAAATAGGCAAGATATGCTATTTTAAATATGAACTGAAATGATCCTCCTGTCTTGTTAGAAAAATTACACGACTATAATTGACATCACTTTGTATTTTATGTTTTGAGGTAGTATTTTTAAAGTGAAACAATTTCATGGTACATTAAGGTCTTGAATGTGCTTTGGTGTCCCTCTGTCATTTTGTGTTTCACGTGACAAGGCGTGAGGACTGCGTGGGCGTCACCCTCAGCCTGTCCTTCCTTCCTTTGGAACAAGGACTCTGACTTTCAGAGCTGTCAGCTGCTCTGCTTCCAGAGGTGGTAAATTACTTTGGAAAGAATTACTCCCTTGCCTCTTGCAAAAGCAAGACATAGGCGGATGTTAATTCATACTTGAACGATATCAATGGAAGAACATAAACATATGCCCTGTCTCCACCGTGGCATGCATGACTGAGGGCCATAGGATCTAGAAGCTTCCATCAGGCATCTGACAAAGAGCTCTGGCTTGGGGGCCCTGCGTGTGAGGAGGGGCTGAGTTACCGCTTCTCGTCTTCCACTTGCACACCGACGGAGTGGTACTCCCGCAGGCCGCGGCTCTCTGTGTCGGAATCTGTGGCCGTTTCCACCTAATTCAACATAGAACATCTTATTTTAGAACTGAAACATGGGGCCTGGGCAAGGGACTATTTTGTTGTTGTTGATGATTTGCTGTAATTAATTATGCATTTGTTTAATTACTGCAGAGATGCACTTGACCCAGTAAAACCGCAGAGAGGGAAATGCATTCACATTGGCATAATTAAATCGCTGCTGCGTTTCATCACATTTTACAGAACTACCTGAACTCAAGGCTGCACTTTGGTCTTTTAAATGTATGCAAATATAACTGCTTAGTTCAGCTCAGGCAAAAAATAGGTTTTGTTGAACTGTATTATTACAGGACTTAAAAGCTCTTATCACACCCTACAGTGAAGAAAGCAAGTACAGCATGAACCAAACGTAGCTAACGACAACAAAGAAGCGATTTAATGGAATTATACTGGTGGCTGCATCCACATACAAAAAGACACAAAGGAATTTAAGCATTTATCGGAAACATCAAGGCAAACTCTCCACCTTCATCTCCATAGAGCTGTCTCACATCTGCCAAGGGGACGGCCAGCAGGGTGATGTCAGATCAGAACAGAAATCGTGTACTCCACGGTACAATTAATTCTTATTGTGGCCAAAAAGTCCTCACAAACCCACAAAGCATTTTAATGATCATCACCTATGTAAAGTTATCCCACAAGGGAATTCTACTGCAGTACGTTATCAAAACAAAACAAAACAAAACCAAAAAACCCCCAAAGTCTCAGTAGGAAAACTCTGTGAAACCAAAGGTTAGTTAACCCATTAATATTGTTCCAGGCACTGAGTCATTCCTCTTTCCAGAAAGATATTACCTATTAAGAGGACTTTTGACCCCTCTCTGAAATGTCACAGCTAAGTTATATCACTTTTCTTGAGAATTATTACTGATCACTACAAGGAAAAGGTGCATTAAACAAATAATGATGACCCTGTCCTCTGAGTCGGAGAGGAGCCACACTTTAAAATTTGAGCCACAGTTTGTGACTGTTCTGAGGGTAAGCCTGTGTCAACAAGGACTGGCTCTGATTTGCTGCTGAGAGATCATGATGATAACAGCCAATATTTCTTTGTTGTGTACCCTGCCCCAGGCACCATGCTGAGGTTAGAGCCTTATCACGCGTAATCCACACAACAACCCTGCGGATGTTTCCAGCCCTAGGAGAGAGTTGGGGGATCAGAGGAGGGGTGACCTGCTCAGGGGCACCCAGCTGGTTGGAGGCTGAGCTAGGGCTCTTGCCCAGATCTCTCTGACCATGAAGCCACGTGCAGCATGGAAGACACAGCACGAGAAAACTCTGGAGCGCTTGGTTGGCCACAGAGCCAGGGCACTGACCAGAAACCACACTTTCACTGGTGTAATTCTGAAGACAGGTGCAGAAGCTGTCCCTAAACTGTGATGCACGTTCTGACAGGTGGGTAAGACGGGCTCTGGGAGGAAGAACATCCTTGAGTGAAGACCCTGGCCTTCCTGTTAGGATTTACCATATTCCCGTCTCTAGTTTTAAGTGGGTCACGACTTTATTAAACCTTACCTTGCATGGCACGAAGATTATTAGTGTTACTTTACACAAAAGGATTGTAATACAATTAATAGATTTAAAATTCCATGTCTGTACATAAGGAGCAGCCTTGTGTTTTAACGACAAAGGATTCCATTTTATGAATACAGCCTAGTGCATTTTATGAGCCTTCAGTAGAGGGGAAATGTGGTCGTTTCTAGTTTCTACCATTATAAATGATGCTGCTATAAATATACATCTGTACTCGTATGTATGTGAAAACTCCTGTGAATATTTCACCTGATAGGTGGTCTGGGTCAGAGGCATCGCACTTTTTGGTAGAAACTGTCAAATCTGATATGAGTGAAATAAATTCAAAGGAATACTTTTAAAGAGATTTTACAAAAGAACACTCGTTTTTATCATAAAAATGTGGAGAATATTTGTGTCACTTACTCCATTTCTAGGAATCTAGCCTAGACAAAGGATCGTAAATTCTGACCAGTGTGTGAGGTGTTCATTGCAGCATTATTTATAAGGTGGCACCTGAGGAGAATGAGGGTGAGACAGTGGGACAGGAATGAGCAGGAAGTCATGGTTTACTCGTGACAGAGTGGCTCATGCCTGTAATCCCAGCACTTTGGGAGGCTGTGGTAGGAGGATCGCTTGAGCCCAGGAGTTTTAAGACCAGCCTGGGCAACATGGCAAGACCCTGTCTCTTAAAAAAAAGTAGCTGAGTGGTGGTGCCTGTGGGAACAGCTACTCGGGAGGCTGAGGCAGGAGGATCGCTGGAGCCTAGGATATTGAGGCTGCAGTTGGCTGTGAGTACACCACTGCACTCCATCCTGAGCAATAGAGTGAGACCCTGTCTCTAAAAAATAGAAAGACGGTTATAAAGGCAATAACCCCCAAAATGCGTATAATACAGACTTTAAAATACAGACTAACAGGTGCCATGAACAACAGAATTACCAGGTGCATGCACGCATGTAGCAACACACTCATACTGACAGGTATGTACGTGTACCATGGAAAGGATGAAAAACATAAAAAAGTAACAAAAGGAGCTTTTCCTTCCTCTGTCTCCAAATTTTCTCTAATATATATTTTTATGGCGAATTAGAAAAATACAGCTTTTGGAGCTGGTCAGATTCTGCTACTTGCTAGCCATGCAACTCTTAGGAAAGTCTCTTAAATTTTGTTGAATTTCTGCTTCCTTATCTCAAAAAAAGAGGGAAACACCCAATGCCTGTGTGAACTGATGGAAAACTCTCAGCATGAGGCCTGATTCAGGTAGGTTTGTTCACAGCAAATGCTAAATTCCCTGTTCTCTCATCTCAGCGTTGAGGACTGTCAGGTGAATAGTGGTGTGTGTATGACATTAAGGGCACTTGCCTATGAGGAACTCTGCAGATTTTATAATGGCTGTCTTGTGAACTCTTTCTAAGGTAAACTCTGAGGAGGACATGGTAAAATCACACTTGGCCAGCAGGAGCTAAGTATGTATCCATTTCAGAAATCCTGGGCATACGGAGGCTTCATGTGAGACAGAGAAGCAAATCTGGGACAAAGAAAAGACTATTTTCTACAGTGGAAAGGAAATTCTGGCTAGAAGCGTAAGTGGATTTAAAAAGTTCTGAGGCCAGGCATGCTGGCTCGCATGTATCATCCCAGGGCTCTGGGAGGCAGAGGGGGAAGATCAGGAGAGCCCAGGAGTCTGAGGCTGCCGTGAGCTGTGACTGCACCACTGCACTCCAGTCTGGGCAACACAGCAAGACCTCATCTCTTATAAAAAGTTTTGAAAAATATAGGCATGCAAGGAACGTATGAATGAGCAAAATCACTGTCCCACTCCCATGGAGTCATAGGTTAGCTGTGGCATCAAGGCCAGCCAGCCGCCTCTGAGCCCAGCTTCTGTAGGGATGCTGAGAAAATGCATGTGGGTGGGGCTGGCGGCAGGAACCGTTCACCAGTAATACTGGGCCACAGTGCCAATCTGCAATCTTTGCTCTCCCAACAAGCTCATTTCCTGCCCTTCCTTCAAAACCTCACACAGGACATGGTGGGTACCCTGGATTTTATACAAACTCCCTCTCCCTCGGAGACGTGCTGTGCCTCCAAAAGTCAGGGGTGAGTCGCCAGCTCTGCTGCCTGTGAGGCTCTGAGCTCCAGGGCAGCTGACTGAGCCTGGAGAATCAGGCAGGCACTTTCGTCTCTGGCAGGACATTCAGAATGGACAGCCACAGAGGCTTTTCCAGGCTGCTCCTGCCTTCTCACAACCTGGTGGGAGAGACCACAGAGTAGAAACTCATCTCATTGGCTGGGCGTGGTGGCTCATGCCTGTAATCCCAGCACTTTGGGAGGCCAACGCAGGTGGATCACCAGAGGTCAGGAGTTCGAGACCAGCCTGGCCAGCATGGTCAAACCCCATCTTTGCTAACAATATAAAAATCAGCCAGGTGTGGTGACGCGTGCCTGTAATCCCAGCTACTCAGGAGGCTGAGGCAGGAGAATGGCTTGAACCTGGGAGGCGGATAATGCATTGAGCCGAGATCGTGTCACTGCACTCCAGCCTGGCCAACAAGAGCAAAACTCCGTCTCAAAAAGAAAACCAAAAAATTGATCTCACTTATAAAGATGGGGCTCACAAGGCACCAGGGAGGGAAGGATCCTAAATGTCAGACTAGGCCTCTGTCCCACCTAACTGCAGTATCTGGGAGCTGTAAGCATGTCCTACGGAGTTCCCCAAACACAAACATGCACACAAAAGAGAATGGAAAACTCAGCAGGAGAGACAAGCTGCAAAGAGAGAACACACAAATGGTCCCATTGTAACCAAGAAAAGCGACGTCAGGCCAGACCAAGAATTCTGGGTCAGAGGACCTCTCCGAGGCAGCTCAGCTGTGCCCACAAGCTCTCCTCCTTATCCTAGGACTGGCCTTTGAGTGCCAAGGCAGGGGCCCATTCTGTCCTATGGGCAACTGGCCTGCAAATCTGGAGCTCTGACGTGGCCTGTGTGTGTGTCCTGCTGTAAGGGCCAGACTCATGTGGCCGTGTCCAGTCACCTGAGGAACAGGGGACTTGCAGCTAGGCAGGGAGGGAGGATGGGGGCCATAGGAGATGTGAGCTGAGGACCCTCACTCACTGGGGATCACGTTAGACACAGCCCAGTAATTATCATGAGAATCCTGAATTCAAACCCTGATTGTAAGGGGTCACGTGCTGCCCAATGCACTGGGGAGCTGCCTGGTGGGACAGCGCCACCGTCCCCCCACTGGAGTTCTCCCTCTGCGTGCTGTGGAGTCACAGAGGGTGTGAGCGCCACATGAGGGATGTTCAGTGGCATAGATGCTGTTCACTTGTAGGAGTGACATTTGCAGAACACAGATTCTCCTGCTATCTGCACTCTGACAAAACTGCCCCCAAAGGTCCCTGGAGCTGTGGCTCTGGGAAGCCAGTCCCATTAAATGCTGCTGTAACACACATTAGCCAGCTTTGCCTGTGAGCTGGGGAGCAGCATGATGTCTGCCCCATATCCCAGGAGAGGAAAAGAACCAGGGCAGGCTCCTGAGGGTATGCAATCATTTTGGGATTTTCTTCTCTGAGAAGTAGAGCGGAGGGGTGGAGTGGAGGCTGGCTTTGCTTGTGGCCTTGGCTGGGCACCGTTAGGCAAGTCACTGACCCTCCCTGAGCCTCAGTTTTCCCATCCAAAGGCTGGGCACAATAACAACCAGCACACAGGGTTATTGTGAGGATTAAATGGCGCCTGTCTCAGCCTGTCACCTACCCTGACAAGCTGGCATCTGCAGCTCCTCTCCCGAGGCCTCCCAGGCACCTACGGGAATCCGCCTTTCATCCACTTCATGACTCACTTCCTTCTTTTCCTCCTCCTATACTCCTGGACTTGCTTCACTTCTTTCTTCGGCTGTTTTCCTTATCCTGACACTTGAGCTGCTCCAAGTACATTTGCCCTGTGGCTTTTCAATTCACCTCCTTTGCATAACTGACTTCACCAGCTCACAGGATGCCCAGAAAACACACAGGACTGTGCATTTGTTTTTCTTACTGCCATGAAAGGTGACTTCGTCATCCACCTGCATTCCTGCCTGTGCATCCATCCTCACCCAGCACGCACCCAGCGGCCCATCCGTCCACTCACTTTCCCGACATTTACCGAGCACTCCCTATGTGCCAGGCACAGTGCTGGGTGCAGGGTGGCAAGAGGCTGGGAGCAAGGTCCCCCCTCACAGGACACATGTGGGGTGCTGGGGTCCAGAGTCCCTCCCATAGGACACAGTGTGGGGCATGGGGGTCCAGAGAGGCCTCTGGGTAGCGGTGAAGGCACGAGCTGAGCTTCGCAGGGGAAGCGGGGGGATGAGAAGCCTGCACTCAGCAGAGGTGGCTGTACGAGGGGTGGGAGCTGGGAGCGGAAGAGGGCTGACCACGGAGGGGTGTGGGGTCCTGGCTGTGGGTGGGGCAGGAGACAGTGGCATTGTGCTCAGTGTGATGACCTGAGATTCTCTACTGCAGACGTGACCCCGGAGATGGAGACGGATGAGGGCACGCTGGCTTTCCTGCTTACGGGCGCCAGAGCCCAGCTAGGCCCAGGGCTGCGGGCAGGTTATGGACCCTGATGAGCCCCTCGTCCTCATCTAAGAGGGGACAGGTGGGTGCACCCAGCATAGTGCCTGGCATATAGAATCAGGACAGAGAGAGGCGACAAGAGCAGTCGCATGAACATCCAAAAAAGGGAGAGAAAATAAAACTCATGCGGACGCGGCTTTGGAGCACATTTTGGTACTTACATCTGACCTTGGGTATGGCTGGTGCTCTGGGAATTCAGAATCCTAAACAAAACAATGAAGCCACAGTGTGGAGACCTGGTTCAGAGGCCCTGGGCCAGCGGGCGGCTTCCCCGCGTTCTCCGCCCGCATGCCTGGCTGCCAGGGCCTCACGGCCCGGCTCTCACACACGCTCCACTCACCCTCCTCCCTGGGCCGCCCCAGCGGCATCCAGAATCTGACTGTTAAAGCTCCGAGGAACGCACACGGAACGCAGGGGTGAAAGGAAGCAGGAGGAGGGCCATGCCGGCAGCGGGCTTGGTGACCAGCCCCGCTCAACCCCACCTGCCAGATCCCGGAGGGACACACCACTTGACCCAGACCACGGGAAGCTCTCCTGGCCCCCCAGGGTACACAGTGCCATACCTAACACAGACTTGCAGAGGGAGGTACATGGGTGGGAGCTGGCCAGAGCCGGCCAGAGCTCTCCATTCACGGGGAAAAGAACCACCTGCCACATCGGTATTATGGATAGATATTTGGGGGCTGGATGGACAGTGGATCATCTGTCTGTGGTCTGAAACCACGGACGCGGCATCTGTGACCGCAGCTGAGGGGCCGGCCCACGCCTGTGAGCCCCTCCTGGTTCCGTACCGAGGACAGCCTGCATTTCCTTTTACCTTTTCATTCCCAACACCTTCTGGTTCCCCCATTCAACTCTTTGGCCACAATACTGAAAGCTTTTGAAAAATCAGGCTTCAGCAGAAACCCTCCCCTTTTAAGCATCAAAATAATGTTATCTCCATACTCTCTAGGCAGCCTCTGACCCTTGGAAAATACACGGCCAGGAGTGTGTTTTCAGGGTGGCAGGGGACGGGGAGCTGGAGCCCCCGGGTTTCGTTCAGCCCCGCACTGGGGTCCGAGTCGCCTTGGGGGTCTCCCGCCTACTGGCTGCGCTGGCGGGTCCGCAATGCGAACGCACAGCCTCGCTCTCAGGTTCTGTGGCCCTGCTGAGGGTTGCGGTCACTGCTAAGGAGGACCCAGGGCCGCTGGCCGGGTTTGTGCTTATTCTATGCCACCTGCAGGACTGACTGGAGCCAGGCCCCGAGAGCGGTTACCTGAATCCCGATGGAGGAGCAGCGGCTCTTGAGGAGCTCTTCCGCCTTGGACACAAGGATGGCTTTGTCGCTGGTCCGGGTGGAGCCGCTCTGCCCATCAGCCATGTGGCGCTGGGCTGCGGCCGTCTCCAGGGCGAGGTTCATGGCCTTGTTGCTGTCCAGGCTGTCCGTGGAGTTGTACAGGCTGCGGCCATCCTGGGGCCATGGGGACATCCTCTGGGCGCGGCTGTCCTGGTAGGCATCCTGGGTGGATTCGGTGCTGCTCTGCGCCGTCACGGAGATCAGAGGCTTGGAGGTGGTCCGAGGGGGCACTGGCGGGGGGGTTTTCTTGTAATTTGTATACGAGACAGCTGTAAGAAAAGGAAGCCCCAAGTCAACAAGCGTGTTCTCCCCCCTCAGTACCTGGGCGACCGTTTCCCCATGCCCACCCCTGTTATTGAAAGAGCAAGTCATTCCTGGACGTTTACCCCAAGAAAATAGCGTGAAACGTGGGGAAATGAGACGGCATACAGGAATATCCTTGTAAAGCTGCAGGATTATAAAAACACCAACGAACTCAGCAGCAGAGATGCAGCTAAGCAGAGTGTGTCCCTGCAGGACAGTGCGCAGGCATGGAGCCATTCCTACGCAGGTCACGTCATTGAGGAAGGTGCTCGTGCTGTCACGCTTAGTTAAAATGCAGGCAGGATGCTAAACTATGCATGGGTCAAGGTGGAATCTGTTAGTGCAGGAGACCTGTGTGAGGAAAGATCACAGTACTTGAAGATGTTGATGGAGGCTGCTGAGTGGCAGGATGGGCCCTGTGTGCTCTTGGGCTTGTGTGTTTTTCTAAAAATCACTATAATGAACAGCTACTGTTTTTTAACCGAGAAAATATATAATAGCAGAAACTTACTTGCTTCCCTGCAAGTACAGGTGCCATAGCTTTAAGTTGTAGGACGTGCACTGAAAAGGGGCTGGCTCTATGAATCTGAGCCGGGCCAGGCCACACTCACCTGTGGCTGTCACCAGCCAGTCTCCTCCCGAGCCGCATTGCACGGGCGTTCTGTGCCATTGGCTGTGCAGCCAGACAGGCCACCTAAGCAAAATCAATGCACCTGGAGATGAAGACCATATTAAATATGCCTTGGAAGGTACCAGTAATGCATGTGATACCTTGGCCCGAACTCAGGGTATGACATATTTATAGAGAGGAGAACTCCCCAACATTCTCCCTCACCAGAACCAGTTGTCCATTAGAGTCAATCATTTTCCTCTATTGTGCAGGAAGAGCTGATGAAAGTGCTTCATGAAGGGAGGCCTGCGCCTTCACCACCCCGCACCACGCACACAGTGGGAGGCACTGCCAGGTGTCTCCTGGAGGGGTCCGAGCGCCGTCTGAGGACAGACAGAGCAGCAGTTTTCCCCAAGGACTTCCAGACACCGTGCCCGAGAGCGGAAATACATCCTTTCTGTGTCTGTTCCCGTGGGCTGCAGGGCACTTGGCGCTCCTCACCCCCTCCAGTTATTTATTATTTTAATTGCACTTTAGGTTTTGGGGTACATGTGAAGAACATGCAAGACTGTTGCATAGGTGCACACATGGCAGTGTGATTTGCTGCCTTCCTCCTCACCTGTATGTGGCATTTCTCCACATGCCATCTCTCCTAACTCCCCGCCCCCCGCTGTCCCTTCCCTCCAGTTATTTTTAACCTGTGTGAGTGGAGCTTCTGCATCCTCTCCAACCTCTTATCTTATCCCAAGAAAACAGGGACAAACGACAAAATGAGCTTGCCATTCAGGATGACCTGCACTTTAAGGCATAACGTTACATATTAAAATTTTAAAATTTACAAAGCGGATACTTTTTTTTTTTTTTTTTTGGAGACGGCGTTTCACTCTTGTTGCCCAGGCTGGAGTGCAGTGGAAGGATCTCAGCTCACTGTAGCCTCCACCTCCCGGGTTCAAGTGATTCTTGTGCCTTAGCCTCCCATGTAGCTGGGATTACAGGCAACTGCCACCCCATCTGGCTAATTTTTGTATTTTCAGTAGAGACGGGGTTTCACCATGTTGGCCAGGCCGGTCATGAACTCCTTACCATAGGTATCTACCTGCCTCAGCCTCCCAAAGTGCTGGGATTACAGGTATGAGCCACTGAGCTGGCACAAAGTCGGCACATTTTTAAAAAGCATGCATTGGAAAGAGAATCTGAAGGCTGGAAAACTGAGGAAGGGTGATCAGATGTTATTAAACCAGTCCGTTGCTGAGCTGCTCCTTCACCAGAGAGACATCCAAAATCCTCTCTTCCTCTTCTTTTTTGTTCCTTTTTCCCCCTAATGTCAATCAATCCCTTAAGGAAAATTATTGAAAACGGACAATATTCAAGGCACTATTTTAGGGGATTCAGAAAGTCCCCAAGACTGCTCCATCCAAAATGCCAACAGTGCCAGGGAGAGACCAGAGTTAGGAAATCATTTTCTTTCTGGGTAGGGTGGATCTGGTTACCATGTGTTCACCTCACCATGGCAGGGGTGAGGTCCATTTAAACACTGCTTCTCCTGCTGCCTCTCCTGACAGAGCTTCGTAACATTGATTTATCAAGGGCATTAAGTGCGACACAGACAAATGAATAGAGAGACGCTGGGTGGAGGTGTGAAGCGGCCTCATCGATAAAGGGGTTCCCATGTGACAGTCCTGGAGAGTAGGTGGCTGTTTTCACGTTAACCCATTTGTCATGGTTCATTTACAGAAAACCGTGTCTTTCTCATTAATGACACATCTCCAGATTCTACGGCTCTGGCAGAAGGCAGGCCCAGTGTCCACTGCACGCCAGGGCGAGACTGCAGACGGGTCTCGGTGACCTCTCCAGGGGCGAAGCTGGCTTTGCTTTGGTTCCCTTAAGCAGAAATATTGATTCCGAAGAGGTTTCGAGTCCCAGCAATAGGGGGAGTAACAATTAAAAGCAAGAGAGACGTTGGAACACAGGTTAAAATGTGACATCTGCCTTAGTATCATTATATTTTTCTTTGCCAAGTTTGAGATGAGTGGAAACGTGATAATGAACACACCTAATTGGTTGGATTTTCCCAGCTAGGTTCACCTCAGCCATGAACGATGGCACATACGCAAGCGTCATAACTATGTCACCGCACATCACAGGCCAACGCAACAGGAAGGAAAGTAGTTAGTGACCTTTCCGGAACATTTAAGCAAATGCACGCAAATTCATCCCCACTGTGGCTCATTATATGTTTAACAGTTCCTCTCAAATGTCTCCCGTCACCACTGTTCAAAATCATAGACCTCACCAAATATATTTTAATCGAAAGAGTCTGCAAAATTTCACAAAACTAAACCTTCCCTCTTATATGGAATATCTTGTAAATTAAAAAATGTATGGGGCAGGTTATAACTCATCTCCATGATCACAGGAAAATCACGTTTTCTCACTTTATCATATGTATGCTACAGGCCAATGAAATGATTTTTTAAAACTTATCTCTGTAAAAATGTAGTTGCACGCCATACTTTTAAAACAAATTAATTAAGAAGGAGCAGTTTACCTCCAGCTTATAAAAAGAATTGACTATACTCCACCTGGGAGGGCACACAGTGCTTTTTCCTAGACAACAAAAGAAAGAGGTCATGCTGTTTCCAAATTTGTGTGCATATGCCTGGCAGGCTGTTCTCGGAAGCACTAAAATGAAAACACGGCTTGAAGCAGTTAGCTGTGCTGCAGTGCTGCAGAGATGATCACTGACTGACTGTCATAAAAGTTACACTTAGAACTTTTCTAAAAGAGTTGTTTTTCACTGTATCAGCAAGCCTCCAATGTCAAAGTCATTATTTAGGTTGCTGTATTCTCTGAATCAACATTTTAGGATGTAAATCCAAGTATTTTTTTTTTATTGCTTAAAACAACTGCTTACTGGTGTTGAATCTACAACACATCATCAATTTCACTGTGATACACCACACTGATGTTTAGGAAGACGTGCAGTTCAACCTGAGTGTCCACATGGTTGCCGTTAGTTACAATATGGGTTTTCCAGAGACCGCACGTAACCAGGCTGCAGAGCCCTCGGCCTTCTTCAACATCGGGCACTGACATAAGTACCTGGCAAGCTTCACTGTGGATATATATTGTGAGATTCACTGCTTTCAGGAAGCATTTAGCTAGAGCCTAAGAGCCTGGCCCCAGTGTGCTCCATACTCACACTGAAAAGGTGGACCTGAGAACCAAGCACGCAGCGTCAGAGACTAGCGATGCCCAGAGAGACTCCAGCTGAAGGAAGCCTCCTGGGGGCAAACCTGGCCTGACCTGAGAGGGATGGAGCTGCTCCCAGGAAGCGGGAGTGGGAAGAGCCAGTGGACATGGCTTGTCCTAGACATATCAATGCTGCCACAGAAAGGGCTGGCAGACACAGCCTGTGTCAAAGATGCACCAATGCCACCACGGGAAAGGCCAGAGGACAAGGCCTGTGTCACAGATGCACCAATGACACCACGGAAGGGCCAGTGGACACGGCCTGTGTCACAGACGCACCGATGCCACCATGGGAAAGGCCAGAGGACATGGCCTGTGTCATAGACGCACCAATGCCACCACAGAAAGGGCCAGTGGACACGGCTTGTGTCACAGACGCACCGATGCCACCACGGGAAAGGCCAGAGGACACGGCCTGTGTCAAAGATGCACCAGTGCCACCATGGGAAAGGCCAGAGGACATGGCCTGTATCATAGATGCACCAGTGCCACCACGGGAAAGGCCAGAGGACATGGCCTGTATCATAGATGCACCAATGCCACCACAGAAAGGGCCATGGACATGGCTTGTGTCACAGATGCACCAATGCCACCACAGGAAACGGCCAGAGGACATGGCCTGTGTCACTGATGCACCAATGCCACCAAGGGAAAGGGCCAGTGGACCTAGCCTGTGTCATAGATGCGCCGATGTCACCACGGAAGGGCCAGAGGACACGGCCTGTGTCATAGATGCACTGATGCCACCACAGAAAGGGCCAGAGGACACGGCATGTGTCATAGATGCACTGATGCCACCACGGAAAGGACCAGTGGACATGGCCTGTGTCATAGACGCACCAATGTGGCCACGGGAAGGGCCAGAGGACATGGCCTGTGGTGTCATAGATGCACTGATGCCACCACAGGAAGGGCCAGAGGACATGGGCAAAATAACCAGCTAACATCATAATGACAGGATCAAAGTCATGCATAACAATATTAACCTTAAATGTAAATAGGCTAAATGCCCCAATAAAAAGACACAGACTGGCATAAATGATAGAGTCAAGACTCATTGGTGTGCTGTATTCAGCAGACCCATCAGACATGCAAAGACACATA